GATACAAGTGCTTAGGCCGAATGAACCACCAACAACAAAAACAAGAAACGTCAAGCATCGCTGATCGTACTGTAGTCCTCGGATAGAAGTCCCGCCTGGCAAGGCAGCAGAAATCAGTACTTGCCCGATTTCTGTTCAGTCTACCCACGTGGCGAAATCTGCGGTATCTTAAGGATAGTCGGTTTATCGGGCCTCAACCCCGAGTACTTAATCTCCAGATATAAGCCTAATTACTTCGCAGATAACCTACTTCGAAAACCGATACACTGTACCACCTGCGAGAAGACGGAACAGTTAGCCAGCGGACTTACAAATAGGCTTGGGCATACCGGTTATGGTTTATTGACAGACGGCGAGAAAACGCGGAAGATTTCAAAGAACCATGGTTGTATTAGGTAAATAAACTCCACTAACCTTATAAAAACTTAGATGAATAGTTCAGACATGCATGAAGTGAAAAAAGCGTCGTTCTGTACAGATACGTCACGAACTAAGACAAGTAATTGAGATGTTGTGGTCTAGATGCATTTCTGTAGACAAAGAACCATCGCAGCGTCTCATTTCTTCACCTGTCGGCGTTTTACTGAGCCGTCAGCCCGCTCTGGAATGGAAAAAAGATTGAGACGAATGAGGACACAGACAGGGGCACCGATCGATGTATGATCAAAAAATGAAAGCAGAATGGTAAAATGAGATGGCAGTACCGCGCAGACACTAACCTGACTTATAAGGTGATTCGACCTTTTTGGCGGCTGTGGAATATTTATTTTCAGTTGTTCCATTCATATTACGAGTCGGCTCCACCTTGGCAGATCGCTTAAGGGCCTTTGAGAAAATCCAAGACCACAAAGCGAAAGCTATAAGAGCAGTCAGAGCCAGGACTAGAATCGTTAGGAAGACAATTTCAGTATCCATTCCTTCATCATCTTCAAGAAGCTGGTCAGGAACAAGTGTTAGTCAAATAAATATGACAGAGGTACCGCGATAGTAGCATTGAATAAAGAATGGAAGTATGGTCGAGCACTTTGGTCGTGGTAGGTTAGAATCACGGCAAGATCAAAGTGTTGGCCGGCCAGTTGTATGGATGGTGTAAAGCCGTAAAACAAGCTAGCCTAAAGGGTTGATGTTGAGGAAGCCATGACAAAATTACCTGTTGTCCCGGTTCTAACGTATTTTGGAGTTTTTGTGTGGTGAAATTTTGAATGTGATATCCATAATAGTGAGGGTAATGCAAAGCGGCCTCCAAGCTATACAGCGAGTACTGTACCGAGCTCGGTGCTGTGGCTGTATTTTCTAGCGAGACAACAAATTTGCAGATTTTTCCGGCAACAATTGAAACAGGACCAGTTGACTGTACGAAGCCAAGAGGCGGATCAACAAACGAGAAAAGAGCGTTCATGTCTTTCGCTCCCTTGAATTCACTTTCAGCGTCGAACTGTTAT